TTCTCTCCAGATCCCTGCGCAGCAGAGACACCAAAGCAAGCATGTGATCCTCCCCAGAGTTGGCCTTTTACAACCAGCAACACCTGCAGCCACTGTTTCCTCCCAAGAACCCCAACAGAATATCCCCATTTGTACAGCCCTAACAACCTGTTGAGAGAATTCACACATAAAGAACAAGTGCTCACGAGTTTCAGCTTCAGTGCCACATAACACACATAATCCATCTGTCAGCTTGCCCCAAGTCAGCAGCTTCTTCTTCGTAACCACAACATCTAACATAATCATCCATGTAAGGAAGCTGTTGCGAGGGACAGAATACTTCCCCCAAACTAACTTGGCCCAATCAACCACCTCGTACTTGACTCTCAAGGTGTCCTAGACAACAGAAACTTTGTAAACAGGCATAGGTTTGTAATTCCACATAAACATAATCTGAGAATTATGCAGCATCAGTAAAGGATGAACAAGGGGTCGCAGTTTGAGAATCCTCCTCCAAGCCCAGGAACTGCTCGGACAATCAGAAACTGTCCAGATGCAACGATCCTTGACTTTATACTGCTGAAACCATGCTACCCATATTGCTCCACTCTTCAACAAGAATAACCAGAGGAATCTAATTGTGCATGCCTTGTTCCAGGCACATAAATCACGAAGCTCCAACCCTCCTTCCCTTCTAGGCCTGGCCATCCTATCCCAACTTACCTTATTACGACCTTCTTCTCCCCCATGCCAGAGAAACTTAGAGCATACTAACTGAACTTGTTTAATCACTTTTTTGGGTAAGATAAAAATCTGCATCCACTACTGGAGTGTCCCCATCAATACTGATGAAATCAACTGCAACCGCCCTGCATAACTGAGCTTTTTGGCACGCCAAGACTGAATCTTCTTTGTAATTATGCCTACTAACTTACCAGTTTCACTCGCAGGCAACTTCCCTGAAAGAAGAGGGACCCTCAGGTATCGCACAGGTAAGATTCCTTCAGCAAAACCTGAAACCCTCAAGGCTGTCTGCTTAAATTGCATCGACTTTCCCCCAAAATACACCTCGCATTTCCCTGGATTGCATCTCAGCCCTGACAAGGTATGAAACTCTCTCAAAATCCCCTGAACCGTCTGAATAGCCTGCCCTGAACCTTCTGTGAAGATGAGCAAATCGTCGGCAAAACACAAATGTGTCAAACCAACCTTCTTGCACTGTGGATGAAATGCCAAGGAACCTTCTGCAGCAGCTCGGTTCAAGAGAAGGGACAGTCCTTCTATAGCGATTGTAAAGAGGTAAGGTGAGAGGGGATCACCCTGTCTCACCCCCCTCTGTGCTCCAAAGAAGCCACACAAACCACCATTAACACAGATGCTAAATTTTGCAGTCTTGACACAAATTCTAATCCAATATATGAATCTCTGAGGGAATCCCATTACTTCCATCATAAGAAATAGGTAGCCCCAGTGAACTGAGTCGAAGGCTTTCATAAGATCAACCTTTATAGCACAACGAGAAGAAAGGGAACTTTTATGGTAACCACTCACTAGTTCTTGTGCCATTAGTATGTTATCAACAATCCTTCGCCCCTCTATAAACGCAGACTGGTTGCCACTAACTACACTAGCTAGAACTTTCCTCAATCGATTTGCAAGCAACTTAGCTATGATCTTATAGAGAATATTCACACATGAAATTGGGCGAAACTCTTTTAGCCTACAGGCAGAGGCAACCTTTGGTATTAAAGACACAGTTGTGGAGTTGACACTACTAGGGAGCTTACCAGAAGAGAAGAATTCCAGAATCCCAGCAGTGATGTCCTCCCCAATTATCCCCCATGTGCGCTTGAAGAAGCCAGCAGAAAAACCATCAGGGCCAGGGGCCCTATGAGAACTCATGCCAGCAACCACCTGTCTCACATCATCAGCCATAAAATCCTGACACAAAAAAGATTGCTGCTCTTCACTCAATCGATGCAGGACCAAACCCTCCAGGTGCTGTTTACTAGGGTGCACCTCAGGATCAATAAAACCAAACAAATTTTTATAAAATTTTACTGCTTCTGCTGCAATATCATCCATCTCCACTATCTCCTCACCCCCCTCCAGTACTAACCTTCGAATAGCCTTCTTGGCAGTCTTGATTTTTACTGATTGATGAAAAAATCGAGTACCCTGATCCCCCAGCTTCAGATGATTAACTCGGGCTTTTTTCCAATAGAAACTCTCCTCATCCTTCTTCAGCTTCACAAGTTTAGAGCTAAGATCCTCTACCACAGCAAAGAGATCACCAGTGGGATTAGATAGGGACATTTCTTGAGCAGCAAGTAACTGCCCTTCAATGTCTCGCACCTGCCCACTAATGTCATTGAAGACCTCCTTGTTCAACTTCCTCAACCCCTTCTTAACAGCATTAAGCTTAGCTTTGATAACCTGGAATTTGACCCCATGAGCCTGCGTAGACCAACCTTCTTCAACAAGACGATAAAAATCAGGGTGTCCTGCCCAAAGTTCAAAGTATTTAAATGGCTTTGGCATGGACTTCTGCTTTGGCTTCGTAGTGACACAGACCCCACAGTGATCAGAGAAGGATCCCACCAAGATCTCAATACTACAGCAAGGAAACTTATCAAACCAAGCCTCATTAACCAGCCCCCGATCTAGCTTCCTAGCTATGGGGTTATCCTTTTGCCTGTTTGTCCAAGTAAAGAACGGGCCATTAGATCGATGATCAACCAGCTCCATACTATCAACCCAATTTCTGAAATCCATCATGCAGCTAGTCATCATGGATAGGTTAGAAGTTTCAAGAGGGGACAAAACAGAGTTAAAATCCCCTCCCACAATCCATGGGATCGAGGAGATTTTGAACCTAGACAGGCTTCTGTAAGTATCCCTTCTCTCAGTCTCATCATTAGAAGCATACACACTAGTGATGAAACAGCTAGCACCACTCGATTCTCTAGCTACACAGTGAACATAGTTCTTCCTAGCTGCAAGAACTCGAAATTCAATGTCCGGATTCCAGAACATCCAAACCCTGCCCAGATCACTATCATAGTAATTAAGAAATCTCTTCCACCCTGTGCAAAACCCCATTACAGTCTCTTCAGATTTGGCTTTTCTAACCCTTGTTTCAAGAATAGCAACTACATCTACCTTATGTCTACTTAGGACTTGTGCAAAGTTCCTTCTCTTAGAGGGTTTGTTAAACCCTCTAACATTCGAGAATAAAATCTTCATCCAGGGGAGGTATGAGAACCCCCACCCTTCTTACCACCCTTCTTTGGAGCAGCCTGCAACTGAGTAAGATCTCTTTCCCCTAACCCTTGCAATGCAGCAAATGTTTGAGAAGTTTGCAATACACTGGTTGGACTAGGGAGTGGAGACCAGCATCTCGGCCTAGCCCCATTCACTACTTTCTGAAATTCAGCCTCCGAGGGCAGCACTAGTGAACTACACTCTGCAACCGATTGAAAGGAGCTCTCCAAGTTAATGCCTACATAGTTTGAGCCAACCATAAGGTTAGTACATTGCACAGCATCAGATATCACACTTTTCCCCTTATCTACTCCGCAAGGATTATCAATATGGGCAGGAGTGTTTTGAGGCATCCTAACCGCTTTCTTAACCCAAACCCTTTCAACTTCATTGTTTCCCTGACCCCCTTTAGGCTTCTGAGCTTGATCCCTCTTACCACATCCACACTTGCCAAAAGACTGGCACTGGCGACAAGCAGGAGGCAGATGGCTGTATGTCACCCCCACCTTGATTGAACGCTCATCAGTCGGCCAGATCAAAACATGATCAGGGAATTGAGCTGACGCCTTCAACTCTACAAGAGCCTTCGCGCAGCCAAGCCTACCCCCCAATCTCGTGGTATGGTCAACCCCCAAGGGAATTCCAAGAAAACTCCCCAACCTACTCATACCTTGAAAGTTGACATACTCCAATGGAACATTAGTGAACCTCACCCATATAGGCAGAGCCTTATTCCCCAAATCTTCCACATCAATCCCCGGGGTCCAAGGTCGAAGATACAACATATTATCCGCATGGAACCAAGGCCCACTCTCCAAGATCCAATCACAAGTTTCCTGGGAAGGCAGTTGAATGAGAAGAAGCTGATTTCCCAGTAGAGAAACCCGAACAACAACGTCTCATCCCCACAGCTTGTTCGCCCATCGTCGGAGCTCCAGAAGGGAAGGCAGAGAAGGGTGAAGGAACTGTCCGACCAGACTGTATCTCCATCGAGCCGCGCCCTCATCACTTACAACCTTTGGCATTCGAATTCCGCCCTTGAAGAGCTCCGGTGGAATGTATTCGAGACGATTCGCCTCAGCGATGCCAAACAGCTCCGCCCAAGGCTTAACAGGAACGCCCTCCTCGCCTAAACCACTCGCTTCGGCAGCCATCGATCTCAAAGAATCTCGAAGAACAGAAAAAGAGTACCGGCGCAGATGCCGGCACGGCCAGCTAGGCCCGCGGCGGAACCCTAGCTCGCCAAAAAAGTTTCAAATTTTAATAAATAATTTTATTTTAAACCCCTTACATATATAAAAAAAAAATATATTTTAAACCATAATGAAAATATATTAATTTTTAAATAGAGTGCTATGAGCATTCAAGTTTTGATCAACGGATGATTGGTCCAAACTTAAAGCACAGTTGCTCATTGAGCCCACGTTCAACACAAGCCCATTGGTGACCCCACATTCACCCAATTTGTGTATCCTACCAAGCCCAATAATACGACAGTCATTTGTAGGACCAAAACAACACTATACGGGTTAAATCAAATATTTTCTATTTTAAAAGTAAATCAAAAAGGGGATGTAGCTCAGATGGTAGAGCGCTCCTTAGCATGCAAGAGGTATGAGGATTGATACCCCGCATCTCCCAGTTTGCTTTTTTTTCTTTTCTTCCACATAGAACGGCGCTGTTTGCACTTTTCTCTTTTTTTTTCTTTTGCATAAAATGGCACCGTTTGCGTCACCCATCTCTAAGCGCCGCGAATTATCTCCTCCAACGAGCCTGGAAAGGAAAGAGAGGTAATCAGTGGCCGAAAATGGCAGCCCCTGATGGAGAGAAACGACTAGATTACCCTTGACCTATATAATGGAAACTCACCGCTGCAAAATTTCATCTCCTTTTCCTTGCCTTCCCCTCGGCGACCGAATTTGCTTGCGGCTTTTCGGAGGGAGAGACCCGGAGACGGAAACGGAGATATGATACCACAGCAATGGGCTCAGCCTTGTGGCGGCGAATGCACCCACAAATACGCATCTCTAACTCAGATTCCTTGTAATATTTTTTTTCTTTTTGTTAACTTCCCCTCCTTTACATTCCCAGAAAGTATATATTCCCTTTGTATGTTTCCCTCCTCTTTGCATATGTTTCAAAGGTAGCTTTATATGCAGCTTTGATTGATTCCGGTAGCATCTCCTTGATCTTTGATTGATAAAGCTAGCGTGGTAGTTTTTTTTTTTCATTGGGGCATTGTGTCAAACAGCTGCCACATGCAATCTCGTGACATATGGTTAATGGTGATTGTGATACTTGCTATGGTCCTGTTAAGCTTTTTTCCTTGGAATCATAATCCCTCCGCTGAACTAGATGGGTATATGGTTCTAGCTATCGGGTACATTGATCATTGTCGTGTGAAGATCCTAATGAGAGCTGTTTGATTCAAATTCTCCTGTAGCTCTGGTCGACTCTATCGGCCATGTCTTGGCCCTTTTGAATTGATTACACAAGAGGAATCATGGTGCAGCTCTCTAAATTTCTTTCATTTTGGAGATTTTCCAATCGTTTGCGGAATGCAGAATAGGTTATGAGTCAATCATGTTTGTTTATTAGAAGAGTTTCTCATTTATCCATGCCTTTGCTTGAGATTGAAGAATTTTGTTGTGTTAGAGAAATGGCTATAAAGTATGCATTGGCTTTCTGTTGCTGAATTCCCTTGGACCCATTGCAGTGACTTCATAAATATCGGAATCTAATTGGTAACACAATAAACCAGATCTTTCAATGTGTTTTCAGTTTTATCTTTGGACGATAATCTGATGCTCTCTTAATCGGTAAAATATGGTGGCTTTTGTGTCCTTTTAAAGTGGGATTCCTTGCTGGCTTATGATTGCTGAGAGAGAAGACGACATTTGCTTGATATTACAAAGGTAATAATTAAGATGTCTTTTTGCAGGGAGAGTGTTTTGCAAGAAAGGTTGTAATGCTGATGGAGACACATGGGAAGAGTGTGAGTGTCCATATTCTCTAGTTATCCTCATGCTCGCAATGCGCTGCTGGTGTCCAGATTCACTTTTGAGAATCTAGTTGCATTGATAATTATTCAAATAGTCTGTTCGAATCCTAATTGTTTAGTAGGAGATGGTGGAAATAGGTATTTTGAACTTTATTATATTGCATACTGCAATACAGATGCAGAAAGATTGTGTACTAAACAGTTGGCTCTTGACATGGAAAATGAATCATTTGTTTGCATCCAGTTGTTTGTTAGGGATTGGCAAAAAAATCTCGAATCTAAAAACTCGGAATGACCTAGATACAAAGGACACATGTTTGGAATCTGCAATTTTAACAGTTGAGCTGCATCTGTCCAGGCTTGGAAGCGTGTGAAGAGATATGCTACAAGGACCCTGTATTAAAGGACCAGCAGTGGACTGCTTACATTGACCGTTCACCAGGAGCTGCAAGCTACTCAGAGGTATCTTAAGGTGTTTCTCCCTTTTCATTTGCTTACATTGACCCGACCCCTCTTTCTGCTAACAGGAATGTTTCCATGCTTGCGTGTCTGGCTGCGCCTATAAAGTGAGTTTGTTGGACTTAATTGATGTTCATGCTATTTGCATTTAAGTAATTTTTCCCTCATATCAATCAGCTGATGCAGTTTCCACGAGTAATGATTTTGTTCCTTCTATTGACTGCAAGAACTTGTTTGCAGTTTGACGTTAAGAAAGACAAAGTTGACCAAACTCGTCCACACCGGCCATGCAAACCTTCTCCCCCTCCCGAGAAGCCATCTTCCTCTGTTCACAAACCTCCTACCACCATAGCTGATGAACAGTCATATTTACCTTGTACTTCTGCTTAGAAGTCAATGGCAGATACAAGAGAGAAAAATACTAAGACAAGTGAAAAGGGTAGAGACGTACCAGCCACAAAAGTAGATTACTGCTGGGAAGATTGTTGATGTTGTGTGTGAGAATTGATTTTCCTGTTGTTGTAGCATTTACTTCCCTTTTTGATTGGCCGAAATGTGTTAGTTTCGAGATCAAGCAATTTTTATTTCTTTAAGAGCTTCTGACTACCCTAACATCCACATTTCGGTATAGCATACCAGGATAGCTATAATCTCAGTAGGGTTCAAAAACCAACTTTTAGAATAGGTACTTAACCGTCATCTTGTATTATTTTTTCATCTCCAGATGTACTCTCTGAAACTTTGTGTGTTATGATAAGCTTGAAACTATTTATTTCGGATGAATGCTGTGAGCCTGTGACTATCTGGTTCGTGAATTGTGATTAGGGATGAACTTGGCTTCTTACCTCGTAAAGAAGTTTATTAAAAGTCTGGTACAAGGTGTTAAAGTGAAAAATAAGGTGGCATATCTCTATCTCTCCACATTTCCTTTTCATCTCACCTACATAATGTATGAGCCAAGATATGTGCCGCTTTGTTTACCTGCTCGCCACCTTCTCTCTTTGGACTTTGAGTTGCCGAATCCAACCTAGGTTGTAAGCAGAAGTTACTAAACACTGTAAGGCAATGTCAAAAAATAGCTTCTGCCATGTCACCCTTTACTCAAACAACCGCACACTTCGGAGGGACCCTTTTGTCAATTCAGATTCCCTTTCTTCTTCGTTGTGTGTTTCCAATCTCCAACCGGAAATTGAAAACCTTCCCTCGCCACTCCTTCTCATCCGCAGACCGCAATCGCAAATCAAAATTCCCAACCTCCATCTGGAATTCAAAGATATCATTCTAGACGACTCATCCCAACCGCAATCTCAGATCAAAATCCTTCGCCGTCCTTTCTAGCACACTCAATCTCAAAGGGAAATTCCTCCCGGGTGCCTCTCTGCTCATCGAACCTCATCACAGGCTCCACCTTTTTTGCCACACTCAATCTCAAATCAAGACCCCTCTCTCTACTTCCCCTACCGTCATTGTGTTTGTTGGCATCTTCTCCACACTCTCTCAAATCAAAATCCTCTATCGTCGCCCTCTCTCTCTCTTCCCCTACCGTCATTTTGTTTGTTGGCATCTTCTCCGCACTCTCTCAAATGAAAATCCTCCGCTGTCGCCCTCTCTCTACTTCCCATACCTTCTCTGCGTTTGTTGCATGTGCTCTGTCTTGGAAGGCCCCGAAAAAAATCCTGACTCGCTCTTGCTGTGTCTCCCAGACCAACCCTGTAATTTCCCTTGGAAGCCCCCCACTGCCAAGCAATGAATCATTCTCTGTCTCGATCTTTGCCTCCTAAAACCAATTCGCGGAGTACCCTCGCAAACCGCCATCGAGCAAACAATGATTCTCCTTCTTGCTCTTTGTGCCCATCGCAGATGAAGAATTTTTGGTCTCTGCCGGCAGTTGCCGCACAAGTGGTGAAGTGAAGTTTATCAGCCCTCAAAGCTACAATAGGAGATTTATCATGATTTGAGGATTCTTATCAAGTTGTTCCCAACTTCCTTCTAACAATTAGGATTCAAAAGTTTAAAATCTTAGGATAGGTGAATGTTTGAGCTTTTGTGAACCATAAAAACACAACAAAAAAATTTACCCTCTCTATTTGTAAATTTTAATCTTTCATTTCTTTCTTAATCTTGCATTTTTCTCGTGCTTTGTAGGAATATGGAGGTGGTATCCTGGGCATTTAAGAAGAGGATGACCAATGGCGGGCATCAACAAGAGCATCCAAGCTGGGTGGGACTCGCCCTACTTCCACGAGGAATCCACCTTGCCAGGTTATTCCCAATTTCATTCAAACTTGTAGAGATTAATATATAGAGTCATTCCTGATCTTAGGAGTTAGGTCAATCGAGAACTTTGTCTCTAGGAGTAGCTGTTGATTAGTGATTAGACAGATGTTGTGATATAATGTTAATAGCTATTGTGGAGTCATTGTTACCGGGTTCAGGAGTTAGCTGACTCAAACTATATACCTCCGAGAGTAGTGGTAGATTTGGCAAATGGCATGATGTAATAAATGATCGAATATGGTCGGAGAGCTCCTCTGCAATCACAAATTTGGGGGCTTTATTCAGTCATGTATTATATATATTCTCAATCTGATAGACAAGTTCTCATGGCTGCCTTTTGTTTGTGAAGAAGGGATCAGAAGAAATTTAGGATTTTGACTTTAGAATAGAAAAAAGAAGAAGACTGACGAAATCAGCTAAATGGATCGAGAAGAAGAATCCACAGCTGTCTTCTGATCGCTCATTTCAGCTGAAGATCGACAGGGAAAGAAGAACAGACGAGAAACAGAGGAAGAATCAAAGCAGAAGGAAAAATGCAGAAAACAGATAACACAGGACGTTTTTAACGTGGTTTGCCCGAGTGCAATGGTGTACTTCCACGTCCCAGAATATAGTCTGGGAGACCCTTTGTTGATTTTCTGTTTTTGACTTAAGAACACAAATACAAACTATACTAGGAAGGAAATGAAAGAAGCTTGAAAACAAATGCAGAGAGACGAACACCCAGATCACAACCTGATCTGATTCAGCCACAACACTAGAGATCCTCTACCTCTCTAGTGACACCCCTTTTGCTAAGCTTAGTCCTATACCACAAAGCTTCTTCTCCAAAAAAGTGCCATCGAAAATCTTCTGTCGTTGGTTAAATAGCTAGCAGAGACTAGCCGTTGGAATCAATCAGGAGACAATCCCCTTTAAATCCCGCAATCAAGCGCTTTCCTTTGTAGCAAGACACCTTCAAATCAACAACGGTCTTGGATCAATGTAGGAGTCAATTCTGACTTGCTATATTTCAACAGTTATTGGACCGAGGCTATGCTGCTGACAGCCAGAACTCAAGCCCACGTCAAGCCCATGCAGCCCATGCACTTCTAGGGCCCGTGGCCGAGTTCCATTATTCCACCTCTCGTACTAATTCTGTAACCCTAGCTGATTTGGATGTAATAGGGTATAAAACCAAGGCTTGTGTAATCAAGCCGATGAATCAATAAGAAGAAAAGGGTGTTCTCCCGTGGATGTAAGCCTCACACACTGTGAGGAAGAACCACGTAAAACCAAGTCTCAATTTACTTTTCCGCACAATTTTACATGGTATCAGAGCCTCAAGCTCTGGGATTTTGATTGCTCATTCTCGTTTTGCATCATGAGTGACGGCGAAGATTCTGGTTCCGCCGTGACGCCATCTCCAGGCAGCAAGGCCGTCGACGCCTTGCCTGAAGTACTCCAGCTCCATCGTTCGGATGGCCCTGGGAACATGCTGGTTGGCGATGTTCTTTCCGCCTCCAACTACGGTGAGTGGGCTCTCGACATGAAGGATGCTCTGCTCGCCAAGAACAAATATGGTTTCGTTGATGGGAGTTTACCCAAACCTAGCAAGCAGCCGGACAAGGATGCATGGATTCGGTGCGATGCCATGGTGAAAGGGTGGCTCAAGACCTCCATGGACAAGGAGTTACGCAGCAGTGTTCGCTTTGCCGAAACCGCTCGTGAAATTTGGGCGGATCTCCAAGAGAGGTTTGGGCGCGGTAGTGCTTCTCGTGCATACGAACTCCGACGCCTCATCTCATTACTTCAACAAGAGAAAGGTTCTGTTTCAACTTTTTACACTAGATTGAAAGCCTTTTGGGAGGAAGCTTCAGCAATATTTCCTCCGCCCAGTTGCACTTGCGGTCTGTGCAAGTGTGGGGTCTCTCGGCGTGTGCGTGAACAGCAAGAAAGTGCCAGAGTTTTTGACTTCTTAATGGGACTTGATGATGCTTTTAGTGGTGTTCGTACACAGGTCCTTGCCATGAAACCCATTCCCACTCTCGGTGAAGCGTTCAATATCATTCTCAATGCCGAACAGCAGAAACTTATTGCTCAGAATCGTCGATCCTCGCCCGAGGCAGCAGCGTTTCTTGCGCAGGGTGACCGTGACAAGTCTGCTAGTACACCGGATCGGGAGCGTGGTGCTGATGATCGCGATCGCCGCCGATGCACTCACTGTCAAAAGTCTGGGCATTTGCGTGAGTCATGCTGGGAGTTGATTGGTTATCCCCCCCGTGATCGTGATCGAGATCGCTCTTCCCGTGAACACAAAGGCGACCGCTCATCTCGTGAAGGCCGCGGTGATCGTCGCGATCGTAGTGCTGGTACTGGCGGACGGGATCGAGTGAGCAGGGAGCCTAAAGCTTCCCAAGTGGCGGCTGAACAAAGCCCTGTTGCTGGGTTTTCCTTGGCACAGTTACAACAACTCAAACAATATTTCCAGGGGTCGGATTCCCACGTTGATGACCCTGCTGCTCACATGGCAGGTACTTTCTCTGACAGTTCTGAATGGCTTCTTGATTCCGGGTGTAATGAACATATCACCATGCATGAACATCTACTATCCAATACAACTATTCCATCTAGTGGGCAGCCCGTTCGAATTCCGAACGGTGATAGTATTCCCGTTAAACTTGTTGGTTCAGTTGAGTTACAACCTGGCTTCACTCTCCCTCGTGTGCTTCATGTTCCTGCCTTCCGCTGTAACCTGATTTCGGTTAGCAGGTTGACACGTGATAATCGTGTCGCCGTAATATTTCTTGATGGTTTTTGCGTCCTCCAGGACTTACTCTCCAAGAGGTTGATTGGGAAGGGTGAATTGAAGGATGGCCTCTACTACTTGCGACTGTTTGACGCTAGCAGCACTCAAGCTTACTCCGTCCAGCAGCAGCGGGTGTCCGAGGCTACCTGGCATGCCCGTCTAGGACATCCCTCTTCCGACAAGCTTTTACATATTGGCCGCATGTTGTCTCCTTCATTTATTCACAGTTCGGATTTCATTTGTCATTCTTGTTCAAGGGCTAAACAATGCCGTACTCCTTTCCCGTCTGGTACTATTCGGACAACCAGATGTTTTGAACTAATACATGTTGATCTTTGGGGTGGATATCGTGTTGCATCTCTTAGCGGTGCTCATTACTTTCTGACCATCGTCGATGATTTTTCCCGTGGTGTTTGGGTTTATTTACTCCGATTTAAATCTGAGGCAGGCCGGCACCTATTACAGTTTTGTCGCATGGTGGCATCTCAGTTCGGGGCAACAGTTAAACGCATCCAGGCCGACAACGGTCCCGAATTTAATACTGCACCATTGCGTGATTATTATGATACTGCAGGAATCATGCTCCAGACATCCTGTACCGACACCCCTCAGCAGAACGGGGTGGTGGAACGCAAACATCGTCACATCCTTGAGACTGCCAGGGCTCTCCGGTTTCAAGCCAGTCTTCCTCTT